TGTTAAATATATTTGATAATTACAGATTAGGTTAGGTCATATTAAGTTTGGTTAGGTTAAGTTTAGGTTAATTTTTAATTTGTTAGATATGTTAGAGTGGATTTGGTTTGATTAGGTGAACAGATTAAATTAGACAAGTTTTGCATTCGTTAACTTTTAATTAGGTTGTGTCAGATGTAGGTTAGATTGGATTTGACAGTACAGATTAGGTTAGATTATATTAAACTTGCTTTGGTTAGGTTAGGTTAATTTTTAATTTGTTAGATAAGTTAGAGTGGATTTGGTTTCATTAAATTTGAACAGATTAAATTAGACAAATTTTTGCTTTTGTTAGGTTTAATTAGATTGTGTCAGATGTAGGTTAGATTGGATTTGACAGTACAGATTAGGTTAGATCATATTAAACTTGCTTTGGTTAGGTTAGGTTAATTTTTAATTTGTTTGATAAGTTAGAGTAAATTTGGTTTCATTAAATTTGAATAAATTAAATCAGACAAGTTTTATTTTCGTTAGGTTTAATTAGGTTATGTTAGATGTAGGTTAGGCTGCATTTAACAAGTACAGATTAGGTTAGATTATATTAAACTTGCTTTGGTTAGGTTAGGTTAATTTTTAATTTGTTTGATAAGTTAGAGTAAATTTGGTTTCATTAAATTTGAATAAATTAAATCAGACAAGTTTTATTTTCGTTAGGTTTAATTAGGTTATGTTAGATGTAGGTTAGGCTGCATTTAACAAGTACAGATTAGGTTAGATTATATTAAGCTTGATTTTGTTAGGTTATGTTAATTTTTAATTTGTTAGATAAGTTAGAGTGGGTGTGGTTTCATTAGGTTTGAACAAATTAAATTAGACAAGTTTTATTTTCGTTTGGTTCAATGGCGTTCCGTCAGATGTAGGTTAGATTGCATTTAACAGGTACAGATTAGGTTAGATCATACTAAACTTGGTTTGGTTAGGTTAATTTTTAATTGATCAGATTATTTACAGTGGATTTTGTTTCATTAGGTTTGAACAAATTAAATTAGACAAGTTTTATTTTCGTTTGGTTCAATGGCGTTCCGTCAGATGTAGGTTAGATTGCATTTAACAAGTACAGATTAGGTTAGATTATATTAAGCTTGATTTTGTTAGGTTATGTTAATTTTTAATTTGTTAGATAAGTTAGAGTGGATTTGGTTTCATTAAATTTGAACAGATTAAATTAGACAAATTTTTGCTTTTGTTAGGTTTAATTAGATTGTGTCAGATGTAGGTTAGATTGGATTTGACAGTACAGATTAGGTTAGATCATATTAAACTTGCTTTGGTTAGGTTAGGTTAATTTTTAATTTGTTAGATAACTTAGAGTGGATGTGGTTTCATTAGGTTTGAAGAAATTAAGCTAGACAAGTTTTATTTTCGTTCGGTTTAATTGCGTTACATGAGATGTAGGTTAAATTGCATTTAACAAGTACAGATTATGTTAGATCATATTAAGCTTGCATTGGTTAGGTTAGGTTAATTTTTAATTTGTTAGATAACTTAGAGTGGATGTGGTTTCATTAGGTTTGAAGAAATTAAGCTAGACAAGTTTTATTTTCGTTCGGTTTAATTGCGTTACATGAGATGTAGGTTAGATTGCATTTAACAGGTACAGATTAGGTTAGATCATACTAAACTTGGTTTGGTTAGGTTAATTTTTAATTGATCAGATTATTTACAGTGGATTTTGTTTCATTAGGTTTGAACAAATTAAATTAGACAAGTTTTATTTTCGTTTGGTTTAATTGCATTACGTTAGATGTAGGTTAGGTTGTATTTAACAAGTACAGGTTAGGTTAGAACATACTAAGCTTGGTTTGTTCAGGTTATCTTTAGATAAATTCAATTGGTTAGATCTGTTAGATAAAGTTTATTATCATTTGATTATTTCTAGTTTGATCAAATTAGACTAAAGAAGATTTGATTTAATTAAGATTACATTAAACGAAGTTCGTCTATTTTACCCAAGTTTAATTTAGTCAAATTAAATTAGATCAGTTTACATTACCTCCAGTTTCGTTCAATTTGTTTTGGTTCAAGTTAGGTTTGATTTAAATTAAATTACGTTAGAGATTAGATTAGCTTTGATTTAGGTGAACTTCCTTTTCCTTAAATCACCAAATAAATTAGTCTTGCAAATCATTTTTAAAACAATGTCCACAGAAGGTACAAAATCGTGCCAAATATCAAGCGGTAATATAAACTGAAAAATCTCACGATACAGTAAACCACCATAACCCCAAATATCATCTAACTACAGAATGCGAACATTAAAACGTTACATGATGATATTACAAAGTTTGCACGAAAACGTTCCAAAAGTAGCACGTACCGCTCACAAGAAAGCAGTTCATCGTACGGCATACGTTCGTTGAGAATTACAAACACGTATCCCGTGTTTGCCACAAAATAAAGCATTAAGAACCAAGGCAACAGTAGTTCACAACAGGAATCACAACCGCTTAATGGAAAACGTGTCCTGTATTTTACGCGTCCTGACAGTTTGACGTCCTCAAATATAACCATCTACTTTTGTTCACAAAAATCGATATGTTAAACGTTCACGGCCAGCTCACATCGTGTACGTTGTAACATATTTGATAATCAATATGACGTCGCCTATAGATTCCTTCCACAAAACGGCACGGTGCGCAGCTGAAAAGAAGACACCTGGAACGGTGTACAGTTAACGAGGTGCGTTAGATTTTCTCGTTTTATATCAATTTATTTGATGATAGTCGTTTGGACTAATGACGAAAGTTGGAGCTATTACGACGCGAGTATGCCTTCTCTCTGGCACTGCAGGCTGCGGTCGAGAAATTGTACTTTGCATAGGGTTGACAAACTTCAGTATTTATCTTTAATATTTGCATTAATATTTGCGTTGTAGTTAAATTCGGTATTCATATTCGACTGTTATGTTCAGTATTTAAATTCAATATTTGTATTCGTTGTTTGCATTCAGTATTTATATGCAATATTTATGTTCAGTATTTAATTGCAAGATTTATAGGCAATGTTTACATTAATTATGTAAATTCAATATTTATACTCAACATTTATATTCAATATTTAAATGCAATATTTATAGTCAACATTTACATCCAGTATATTAATTCAACATTTATATTCAACATTTACATTCAATATGTAAATTCAATATTTATACTCAATATTTATATTCAATATTTAAATGCAATATTTATAGTCAACATTTACATCCAGTTCAATATTTATACTCAACATTTACATTCAGTATATTAATTCAACATTTATATTCAATATTTACATTCAATATATAAATCCAATATTTATAGTCAATATATAAATTCAATATTTAAATGCAATATTTATAGTCAACATTTACATTCAGTATATTAATTCAACATTTATATTCAATATTTAAATGCAATATTTATAGTCAACATTTACATCCAGTACATTAGTTCAATATTTATACTCAATATTTACATTCAATATGTAAATTCAACATTTATATTCAATATTTACATTCAATATGTAAATTCAATATTTATAGTCAATATATAAATTCAATATTTAAATGCAATATTTATAGTCAACATTTACATCCAGTATATTAATTCAATATTTATACTCAATATTTACATTCAATACGTAAATTCAGTATTTGTACTCAATATTTATAGTCAATATATAAATTCAACACTTATACTCAATATTTACATTCAACATGTAAATTCAATATTCATACTCAATGTTTGCATTCACTATTTACATTCACTATTTACACGTCACATAGGAAGCTCCACCACATAAAGACTACTATCTAAACTACTTCCACTAACGCACATAACCACCATTTCGTCGCTAGAGTCGCCGCCATTTTGAGCACGATACCCAGCACGCGTTCTACAGATAGATCGATAACCGATTGCCGATGAAATCGTCCACCGCGAAGTATGTATAGAAATTGAACAACATTCGGAACGCGGTTTATAAACACCGAGGTATCGCACGCGGCAACAGAAGCCAATAAGTCAGCCATGATGCGACATACAAAAATCTTTGTACAGAAGCGTACACTTACGCGTCCGCGGTCGGACAGAACACGGACGCTTAAATGGGGAGGTGACTTCCGCGGATTCGATCGAAGGAAGTAGAGAGAATGCGAGCGAGTGGGATACGGATATCCGGCGCGACTCGAAACTGCTCCGAAGTCCCATTTCCAGGGACTGTTAGCGGCGGATACTTAAGAAACCAACGGACGTTTAAACGGACGCTTCTGTATCTCGAAAACGGTTGACTTTTCGACCCACGTTCGCTAAGACTTTTTACTCGGTGGTGTCCCATGTATCTGGTTCGCGGCCATATAACGGTTAATTTCTGAACATACTCGACTTTCATCCGTATAATTCTAGGAACAATCGATGAAGTATGTTACCTAGCAAAATTTCACGAATCCGAACGGAAATTGATTAACTCGTAAATTGTAATTCAATGAATACTTGACTGTCTAAAGTTCTGAACTGCTTCCACCAAATTACGTTTGCACGTTCGAATTATACATAGGAAGGTTACCGAGGCGTGTCTTATTGGATATCAAAACTGGTTGCGTTATCCGACCCTGATGTAAATTAGTGCATTTGATTTGCACTTATGGATTGTCAAAATTCATGTCGTCATGCTGTATAATTTCGGTGTTCCCGCTGGAATTACTCATTCATATCGTGTTACAATATCGGGAAATTATTCAGTATTTTTTTACCATATCAGGAAATTACACATTCAGTATTTTTCTACCTTGTCAGGAAGTTCATTTCAGTATTAAGTTATATTCGGTATTATTAATTCAGTATTTTCATACTATTTCAGAAATATCCTCGTTCAATATTTTCTTAGGGTGTCAGGTTTCTTTAATATTGCAATAGTCTCGAGGTAATTGGTGGAAAGTTCTGGAGGATTCGAGTTAAAAATCTTACCACTTAGTTACTCACCACATCGATGAGCTGCGAGAGCTTCAGCTTAATGCACACACGTAGCACGTCCGAGGTGTTCACAACAGGGCGCACTAGTTTGTTGTAGTTGGAGAGCAGGTCGTCGTAAAGGCGTTTCGCGTCCGGATTGCCGGCGACAGCCCCGTGAACCACCAACGCCGAGAGAAACCATACTCGTAGTGTTTCCCCTATTATGGGGGACATCATGATCCCCGGATTCCTCCACTATGAACAACACAACCGACACCCACGAATCCCCGGATCGACCGCACTAACCGTGAACCACGAATCTGTCAGGGACACAAAATGTTATGTTTGTTAATTCGCCTGCTATGCCGGTGGCTAATTTAACTCCTAAAGGCTATCGTGGACAGCCTAGGATTAAGATGTCCACATTCCCTTTACGAAATTCATTTTCGTTAACTTTATATGAAACTTGGCTACTTATTTGTGAATTGTAAACATTTTTTAAAATTGTAAATATATTTGACACTTGTAAACATTTTTAAAAATTGTAAATATATTTGAAACTTGTAATCATTTTTAAAAATTGTAAATGTACTTGAAACTTGTAAACATTTTTAAAAATTGTTAATATATTTGAAACTTGTAAACATTTTTAAAAATTGTAAATATACTTGAAACTTGTAAACATTTTTAAAAATTGTAAATATACTTGAAACTTGTAAACATTTTTAACAATTGTAAATATACTTGAAACTTGTAAACATATTTAAAAATTGTAAATATATTTGAAACTTGTAAACATTTTTAAAAATTGTAAATATATTTGAAACTTGTAAACACTTTTAAAAATTGTAAATATATTTGAAACTTGTAAACATATTTAAAAATTGTAAATATATTTGAAACTTGTAAACATTTTTAAAAATTGTAAATATACTTGAAACTTGTAAACATATGAAGGTTATCAAAATTAAGACTTGAGGATTAAAAATGAAATGTATACTTTGATGTTTGAAAAACATTTTATACTTGAAATTTCTGTGTTATTATTTTGAAATACATTTAGGTTATTGTTGATTTTTATGATAGCCTTTAAGAGTAAGATAATAGTTAATTAAGCTAGAAGTGATAGACTGAGAACGTTTCGTATTCGGATTTTATTATAATCCTTCATTGACCTATGTTGTATAATTGCTATGGAGATCCTTTATTATTATGAATAACTAGTACAGTTTAATTTGTGCTAATCCATAGTTTCACCCCTCTAAGATCGCGATATAGTAGCCTCGCGTTATATTGCCACTCGGTGTATAATTAGAAATTTTGTCTATCAAACTTTGACTATTCTATTTTGAATAAAAAATACAGTAACATACAGTATTTAATTGTTAATGTTAGTCACATTAGTAGTAGTCAGTCATATTAATAGTAGGCAGCCATGACAGGTAGCCATTTTGAAAACCAATTTCTTCTCTAAGAAATAAAGAAATAAAGAACTAAATGAAAATGACGATACAATAATGCAATTTAGAACATCGCATGCAATATCATACACAATAAAATAAATCAAACCAATTCGATTCAAGAAAGTTCACAGATATTATAGGTTATGTTCGAAACAAACGAAGTTCTTGAAACTTGAAGTAATCCACGGGGCTAGACTGTATTAATAGCTTTTTAATGCCATGGAAAATATGATTACGAACAACTCTCTTAATATACATTAACGTCGAACCGATGTGCGATAAATTAAGTTATTTAAATGAAATTTTCGAGCATGCCAGGCATCCAATTTCCCGCCTTTCAACGAAAGGGTAGCTAGACGGAGACGGGTTTTGTCTTTTCTCTCAACGCCGTTGTCTCTTGCTTAATCCATATAAGTCATCCACTCTGTGCATTATTAAAGTTCATTATTCGACACCATATTTCATGGTGTTGGAGGATAATTAATTGATAACAATGGAGTACGGAGGTAATATAACGTTTCATGTAGGTTAATCTTCAATAACGTTCGCTCTGTCTTTCGATAAATAATTTTATGCATTTCGGAATGTTTATTGTGCTGCGTATATGATATGGAACTTTTCAATTGAAATTGAGGGAATATCAAACTTGTTCAAATATGTGATATGAATTAAGTACATGAATTGTAAAGATTATTGAAGTTGTTGGAAATATTTTCTGTGATTAAAATTTATTACAAATTTTGCTTTGCAGTACTGTCATTTGGTTTCCTTTTTTTTTAAATAAATAAATGGAAAACAGTTGCTGATAAATAAAGGTATTGCTATTTATTGATGAATAAATTTATTGGTCAATTTTTTTGTAAAATATAAAATATTAAAATTGATAAAATATTTTGTATGTTTTTATGTTTCGTATATTTTATATGTTTTTATATTTAATATACTTTATATGTTTTTGTATCTTAAATATTTTATACGTTTTCATCTTAAATTTTATCTCCAATATATTTCACATATTTTATTCTTTTATTTCATATATTTTGCAATAAGTATTTTATTTATTTAAAAAAAAAAGGAAGAAACGTGGATATAAAAATAATTTTGATTTATATAATCCTTGAAATTTCGTCTCGTTGCATGTTCAGTTTATTTATCAAACGAGAAATACATAATAATATGAATATTATACCGTCAATCTGCAATATGTCAAACTGTCAAGCGTCAAATGCTTATGGAATGTCCTGCTTCATGGTTTGAGAATGTCGTGTAATCGATGCGGTTCAACTACTATTTGAAAGACGAAATTCGCGCATTTCAAGGATACTTCATCGCATTCCGTGGAGAGACTGATCATGGGTCAACCATAGCATAGCAAATCCGGAATTGTAACAATTCGAATAATTGGCGAAAGTAGTTCAAGGTACGGTTAAAATACGTTTTTATAGGCAAATTATAACGTTCGTAAAAAATTGACGAATTGGAAAAAATTGAAATTATTTATGTAATAATTTTTGTTTTTTTTTCAATTGAGAAAAATATTTAAGATCTGCAAGTTTTTTTTGTAACAGAGAAGATCTACAAGATCTGTAAGTATTTTTGTTACAGAGAAGTGGTAAATTATTTGATTGAGTTTTCTGGACGTTCGATATCTAGACGTTAGGTATCCATATGTTGAATATTTGCGCGCTAGATATTGGCGCGTTAAATATCCACGCGTTAGATATCGGTGCGTTAAATATCTACGCGTTAAATAACTACACGCTAGATATCTATACATTGGATATCCATACATTAGTTTTTCACGCGTTAAATACCTACGCGTTAGATACCAGTGCGTTAAATATCCACGCGTTAGATATCGGCGCGTTAAATATCCACGCGTAAAATATCGGCGCGTTAAATATCGACGCGTTAAATATCCACGCGCTAAATATCAACGCGTCAAATATCCACGCGTTAAATAATCACACGTTAGATATCTACGCGTTAAATATCAGCGCGTTAAATATTCACGCGGTAAATACCAGCGTATTAAATACCCACGCGTTAAATACCATCGCGTTAAGTATCCACGCGTTAGATGTCGGCGCGTTGAATATACACACGTTAAATACCAGCGCGTTAAATACCCACACGTTAGATATCGGCGCGTTGAATAATCACGTGTTAGATCTCGGCGCGTTAAATAACCACGCGTTAAATATCCACGCGCTAAATATCGACGCGTCAAATAATCACGCGTTAGATATCTACGCGTTAAATATCCACGCGTTAAATACCAGCGTATTAAATACCCACGCGTTAAATACCATCGCGTTAAATATCCACGCGTTAGATGTCGGCGCGTTGAATATACACACGTTAAATATCCACGCATTAAATACCCACGCGTTAAATAGCATCGCGTTAAATATCCACGCGTTAGATGTCGGCGCGTTGAATAATCACGTGTTAGATCTCGGCGCGTTAAATAACCACGCGTTGAATATCTGTGTGCTAGATATCCACACATTAGATACTCACAAGATTAGATACCTACACGCTAGATATCCATTCGTCAGACACGAATGCGTTAGATATCCATGAATTAGATCCACATTCACGCGTCAAATATCAATGTATTAAATATTAATGTGTTACGTATGTGACGTTAGATTTCTACACGTTAGATATTCACACGTCAGATATTAAATACGTTAGATACCCACTGATAGTACTTAATACGTACTTAATAGAAAGTTATTGTATAGAACCATAGCTGAACTTAAATATGACAGAACTTTATATTTTCTTAATAGAACTTTAATATGATAGAACTTTACATTTTCTTAATAGAACTGTAATATGATAAGACTTAACAGAACCTTGATGTAACAGGACTTAATACGAACTCAACAGAAACTTAATAGGACTTCGTCAGAACTTTAGTATGAGAACTTAATATATTCTAGATAGTACTTGAGTTATAACTACAACCTTGATGTGGCTTTAACACGATGGGATCTAATATGTCCTTAATAGGACCTTAATTTAATAAAACCTAACATATTCCTGATTCAACATGGAACTTAAAATACATATCTTTGTCATGATACTGACATGATAGGATTTGGGTTTGATAGAAACTTAATAGGCTCAATATGACAGAACTTAATATAGTTTAAAACTTGAATCTAATTGTACTTATTGCAGTTGTTATATTGATGTGACTAATACAATGAGACCTACTATGATAGAACCTTATATGATAGGACCTTACTACTGACATAGGTCTACTGACAAAATTTCTAAATTCTCAAACTTCCAAATTGGCAAATTCCAAAATTGCTAAATGTTCTAAATTCTCATATTTTCCAGATTTCAAAGTTCCTTAAATTTGCAGTATGATGGAACTTAATATATCTTGTTAAGACTTGAATTTGATAGTACTTACTACAGTACTTACATTGACGTGACTAATACAATGACACCTAATATGATAGAACCTTATATGATAGGACCTTACTACAGACATAGGTCCACTGATAAAATTTTTAAATTCTCAAACTTCCAAATTCGCAAATTCCAAAATTGCTAAATGTCCTAAATTCTCTTATTTTCCAGATCTCAAAGTTCCTTAAATCTGCAGTATGATGGAACTTAATATATCTTGTTAAGACTTGAATTTGATAGTACTTACTACAGTACTTACATTGACGTGACTAATACAATGACACCTAATATGATAGAACCTTATATGATAGGACCTTACTACAGACATAGGTCCACTGATAAAATTTTTAAATTCTCAAACTTCCAAATTCGCAAATTCCAAAATTGCTAAATGTCCTAAATTCTCTTATTTTCCAGATCTCAAA